TTTTTTGGGTATTTTTATTTTATATATTTTATATATATATATATATATTTTTTTTTTTGGAAAATGGTGATGAACCTAAGGTTATTTAAAAGGTGAAAGGGAACACTAGTGTGAAACAGTAGATCTGATCCAATGACAAAGGCCAGGTCGGGGCATGACATGGCATCCAATTGATTTGATTTTCTCTGTCCTTTCGATCTCCTCCTTCCTCGTCTAAGCAGTCACTAGTCAGCAACCTTGTTACAGCACTCCCTCTCCAACCTTGAATTGAAAGTCATATTTTCCATTTATGAATATTCAACTTTGACTCTAGTACTTTATCATATTAGATATTTGTTTTGTCGTTTTTTTTTTGTTAATTTAGGATCAAGAATAAACCAGATTTTAAATATAAAAGTGCAATCTATTCTATAAATTTAAAATATAATCTAATATATTATTTATTATAATTTTTTCTCATAAGTTTAATCCAATTTTTTAAAAATATTTAGTCAAATTTATTAACCTATTTAAAAATTTTAATTAATTAGTCTATTTAAAAATATATTTTACATCAATAACATTAAACAAATTAATAAAATTAATTTTAAATAAATTAATAAATCTATTTTAAATATAAATTTTTTTTTACTTTTAGATCATATATACAAAATTTTATATTAATATAAGATGATTTAATATTTCAATTTTATAAAACAAAATTAATGTAATATATACATTTTAAAATATACTAAAATATGAACATTTTGATTACCTTTAAGTTATTTTTAAATTTTATCTAAATTTGATATAAATATATAAATTGATATGAACTTTCAATATAACGATTGTATTTATAAAATTCATATTTAAGATTTGACTTATTCTCACCTTTACAGCTTTACTCATGACAACAAGACATGCCAATTATAGTCCTTATATATACTTGTTTGGTTAATCACTTAGTTGAAATATTGCTTTAATACTAATTGTTATATGTTGAAAGTTCACACATATATCTTTATATTATATGATATTGTCTATTTTGAGTTTAAATTTCATAATTTTATTTTTTATTATTAGTTAATAAAACACTTTATTTGTGTTTCTAACAATTCTTCTCGTGTTGAATTTTCTAAAAACTTTTTTAAGCTATCATAAAGAAGTTAATTTCACTTTATTTTTCTTATAAGTATTTTTAAATAAATTTATCTAAATAGAACTTCTATCTCTTTTTTTTTAAATTCTTAATTTTGTTGAGATTTTTTAACTAGATCCTTAAACTAAAAAAAAATAAATTGAGTCATACATGTTTTATTATTATTATTATTATTATTTTTTATTATTTATAAATATTTATAATTTAGTCATCAATATTAAAAGAGCTGTTTATAATATGTTAAATTTGTCAAAATAATTTTATATCTTTATAGTTGAATAGCCACATCATATTTTTATTCTATGATATTATCCCTTTGCATCAAATTTTAACATTTACTCATAAACTATGATGATATAAATAATATTCTGACAAATTTCACATATCATAAACAAACTTCAAAGTATGAAATATGAATATTAAATTATAAAAATATAAGGAACTAAATATTTTTTATTTATTTTGAGACCTAATTAAATTCTTTAAAAGAAACAGGAATAAAATAATATGTTATTTTTCTAATACAAGAATTACGTAAATAAAAAAGAGATTTTAAGACAAGTGAATTTACAGACATCAGTAATTTACATGTGAGATTTTCTATTTGTTTCTCATAAAACAATATAAAATTTGTTGCCTTAGTAAACTTGTATAATGAAATACTCAATTCCACCCTAATGTTCTTAATAAAATTATGTGTTAAATACTCAATTTTATTCATTATTTAAAAGTACTTTGGTTATTGTAAGTCTGTACTTTATTTAAAAGCATTTTTTCTTATTGTAACCAATTTGATTGACCTATGATGGTAAGTCTTTTTTACATATGAAATACCTCTCGTAAATGTAAAAGTAATAAAAAAAAATTGAAGCTACAAAAATGACAACCATTTGTGATTAAGAAAAATATGTTTTAATTTAATGTTTTTTTATATATAACTAAAATATACTTCTTTTACAATTATTTCCCTCTCATCTATAATGGATGTGAGATAGTATTTTTTTAACATACTACTTATATCTAATAATATTTGAATTGATATGGGAATAAATGTTGTGTGAATATTTTATTTTAATATTCAGTTGGATAATAAATTATTTGTTTGATATTAAGGATATAAGAGTGAATTGGATGTTAGGTGAGTAAAGTTCACCCATTCATAAAAAAGAGAGAGTATTATATAATGCTTTTATCGGCAGAAGCTACACTCCTTGATTCTAGATTAGTCATTTTAAAACAGACTATGTCCACAAATGAAAAGAATATTCAAATGATAATGAATATAAACAAATTTGAAGAGAGTAAAACATTTACATAATATTAAATTATTCTTATATATATATAGTGAGAGAAAGATAGAATGTACAAATCTTTACATTAACAAAATATGACTATTAAACTTTATTTTTATGACATATTAACATGTTTAAATATTTTATAGTATAATAAATATATACAAAAAGAAGACCATGTACCAAAATAATGATAATAATAAGATTTAATTCTACCTTTGTCATGCAAATTTTACATTATTGCAAATTTTGTTGTCAAAATTAAAAATATGTTTATGTTATTGCATGAAATTTAAAATTATTCACATTTTTCATATTGTTAATTAACTGTTTGATGTTGTTAATTAACTATTAACATGATATATTAATTGTTGCCATGAATTGATGTGTTATATCAACTATTAACTACCGACATGAGATTAACAATTAATAGAGAATAAAATATGTAAAATTTTAAATTTTTTATACCAAAAGGGGGTAAATTTAAAAGCTAGGTGTCAAAATTATTAAAATCGTAAAACATGGGAAATAAAATTACATTTATGTTTGATAATAATCTACACTTATATATTAAGTATGATTGACTTTTTTAGCCATAATATTTTTTTTAACTTCTTATCTAATCTTTATTTATAAATTAAATTTAATATTTTTAACATTGTGTTACAATATAAATTATAGTATTTATTTATATATATATATAATTTAATATAATTTTTTTATTATACATAAAATAATAATAATAATAATAATAATAATAATAATAATAATAATAAAAACAACGTTTAACTCATGTATCACCCATACTAAAATGCTAATCATTTAATAAGTGAAACTTTTAAATAACAAATAGCAATGCATAAAAATGATTAAGGTTCTCTTATTTTTTTTCTTCATAAATACCCATAAGAAAACAAAATAATAAGGGGTCAACAAATTAAATTTATTTCATAAACTAAAATTATTATAGTTTATTTTCTTTTATCTTTTGTATATGTATTTAAAAAAAAGAAATCCGAACAAGAGTTGTGTATTTTAGAAGTAAGAAGAAAATATTTGTATGGAGTTGAAGTTGATTTATTTTTTGGGATGGAAAATGGTGATGGGCCTGAGGTTATTTAAAGGGTGAAAGGGAGCAGTAGCGTGAAACAGTAGATGTGATCCAATGAGTAAGGCCCGGTCGGCGCATGGTATCGCATCCAATTGTTTTGATTTTCTCTCTCCTTTCGATTTCCTCCTTCCTCATCTCAGCAACCTAGTTACAGCACTCCCCTCTCAATCCCATCCACCCTATTTATTTTTTTTCTTTTTAATTTCCCCCTTTTTATTTATGTTTTAAAAAAGAATCTCAATTCTCCATTTTTATTTATAAAAAAAAGGGGAAGTAAATTTAGGGGGGAGCGATCCCCTAAAGACGAAAAATTGAAATCTAAATCTACAACACCACAACACAAAATGGCATTTCACGTAGCTTGTCCAATTACATGGTAATGCTTCTTTTGCTTATGCTCATGCTCATGCTCATGCTCATGCTTCCACTCTTTATTTCCCTCTCTTCTCTTCTTTTCAATCACGCCAAACCGCTCTCTATATATATCCACCGCCGCTTCACTCTCTTCTCCTTTCCTTCCTTTTGATTTTTGCAGTCGCCGAATCTGTTTCTGCGCGCTAGGGTTTCCGCGAGCGCTCCACGCTCCAGACCCTGCCAATGCCTTTCTCCACGACGTCGCTGCGCTCGGGGACTTCCTCGCCAACGCCACCGTCGACGACGCCACCGTCCAGGTCGCCGTCCCCAAGGTTTTGCCGCCGCCGCCTCCGCCACCCACCACGGACGGTGTTCCTCCCGGCGTCGACGCTATCGATGAGTCCGCCTCCATGAAGGCCAAGCGCATCGCGCTCCAGCGCAAGGGCGCCGCCGCCATGATCGCCGCCGAGGAGTACGCTCGCCGGTTTGAGTCCGGCGACGTTGTGGTGAGTGTGAGTCTTCTCTTCTCTCCTGACTCGAGTGTGATGGAATCCTGATTTGATTGGCTTGTTGCATTTTTTGATTCATTGATTCAATGTTCATTTGAGCTCATTGCTGCTAAAGTTCTTGTGTTGAAAGAGGAGCTGGAGTATTTTTTTTGGCATGTATATGATTTTAAACTTTTGATTATTATCATTGCTGGGCATTGAAGTGGTTTTAATTAATTGTGTTGATTTTATTTTATTTTTTGATTTTGTCTTTCTTAATTCTCAAGACTAATACATGTGACGGTGCTGGTTGTTTGAACAGAATACACCCGGGAATCTTACTGGAGATGAGCAGGGTCAATCGAACAGGACCTATTGTCGATTTTGCAAGTGTGGAGAAGTTGAAGGAAGTGAGAGAGCTCAAAAGATGCTATCGTGCAAAAGTTGTGGTAAGAAATACCATAGGAACTGCTTGAGGAGTTGGGGTCGACATAGAGGTAAGAAAATATATTTGCTTGTATATGTAAATGTGGTCTAAGTGTTGTTTGTTCTCATGTCATGGGTGTTCTTTTATGGCAGATTTATTTCATTGGAGTTCATGGACCTGTCCTCTTTGCCGAATTTGTGAGGTAATTAGTGATGCTAATGGGATTTTACTTTTCCTTGTATTGTTTGGGGAAGGCTCTCTTCTTTCCAAATCTTCATGTGAAAATGGTTGCTGTCTTTGTAATTTTAATCATACTCTCAATCTATGTATTATGCTCTCTAGAATGAAAGCAGCAATGCTGTACACTAGCAATGTTTCATGTTATTTACTTGATTATGTGGTTAGCATATCCTATACTTGTGAAAATGTTGCTTGAGATGAAACTTGATATTTGGTTTTTTTTGGGTGGTATCAAGTGGAGTCTAAGATTAGCTTGTTACATTGAATGAAGCTGTACATTGGTTTTATTAATACAAAATGGGAAAGTTTCTATCTGTATTTATTTATTTTTTAATTACAATAAAGTAATATTTTATACCAGCTATAATCATAGTCGTTGGGATATCTGCCATCATTTAGTTTCTTATGTATTTTATTCCGGAAATTGAGTTAATTTTGGAGATGATGTCATTATGTGGCCGTATGACGGAGTCATGTTTTTCCACACTTAAACTATGAACTTAATAATAACCTGCTTTTTATGTGATCAGATACTCAGCTGGTTTTAATGACTTGTGGGGGGGACTTACCCCCATCTACCCCTCAACCTCTAAATATCCCTGAAAGTCAGCTTATTTCCATGTGAAGTGTTTAGAATAGCTATTTCTCATGTTCTTCACCTTAAAGATCCATTTACGTTGATAAATTGAATGTCTTTGTAGAAAAGTTGCTGATACCAACTAATATTTAATTGGAGTTCTGGTAGTCTTATGCTTTATTTGCTTCATCCAGGCTTGCAGAAGGACTGGTGATCCATTTAAATTCATGTTTTGCAAAAGGTGTGATGGTGCTTACCATTGTTATTGTCTGCAACCTCCTCACAAGGTTGAGTTTGTATCACTTACTAGTGAGCTTAATATTGATTTTATAGTTACCATTTCATTTATTATTGTTCATAATGCAGAGTGTTTGTAATGGGCCCTATTTGTGCCCAAAACATTCAAGGTGTCACAGTTGCGGATCCAATGTCCCTGGAAATGGACTAAGTGTGAGGTATGAATCCTGAATAATGTAGCTTTTGCTTTGATGTCTGGTCTGTTGTTGGTATGCCTAACATTGTTTCAATGATTTATTATAACATAGCCCTTCTATTGTTACTGTGTTGATGCCCATAGGAATGTTGTAAGATGAAAGTCGAGTTATATTTATAGTCAAAGCCTATTTTCCTGGAAGAAAGAAGGCTGTTTTTTTTTTTGTTGGATGTTTTTCAATTATTACCTTCCTTTATTTTATTTGTTGGCTTTATATCATCAACAATTACCATGGCATGACATGCTATTCAATGAGTTTTGGAAATGATAAGTAATGCTTTGGTTTTATTTTAATTTCATGTCATAAATTTAAAATACTTTATCTTCCCCATGGAATAAAAGCAGAAAGTTTTTGTTGAAAAGTGTATTTGCATATTCTCTCCTGTAAATCTTTTTGTAATTTTTCAATGAAAACTTTTTACGTAATGATTCCTTAACTAGTGTCCTTAGGGAACTGGTTAGCAAGACCCCTTCCCCCATCTGTGTAGTATGTGACCGGACTTTATTTTTTTTAATTCCCGACAATGTAAATCAAATAGGCTACTTAAAGTAGTTTAAAGCTTTCTGTCTTTATTTTTACATTGGCACTGTGGCAGTTAACACCTTTCTTGGCTTGAAGATGCACAGTATATATTAATCCAGGGATGGATTTACCATTTTTTTCTTCTAAAATAATGTATAGGTGGTTTATGTCATACACCTGCTGTGATGCATGCGGAAGATTGTTTACAAAAGGGAACTACTGTCCTGTTTGTTTGAAGGTCAGCATCTCTTCCTAATCATCTTTAAGTGACGGTTGGCAGAATACAAAATCTTAAAGGAATTTATTTGATGATATATATATTTTTTCAAGGAACTTATCTGCAGCATTCTTATTTCCTTTATGATATGCATGCATGTCTGTTGGTTTCACAAATATTGGCTAGAAGTGTGACATAGGTTTTATAAGGTCCCATATCCATCCAGCATCTATCTCAAATATTATGCTGTACTTGTATGCATGCCATGTTACAAGTTAATTTCATTTCGGCTTCACTTCCGTATCCCTTTTGTGCCCCATGAATACTAGGGCTATGTGTAAAACTAAACAATGTAGGCAGAACAGGAGTTCTTAAAGTTCATTGCACGTTTTTGACTGACTTTGTAGGTTTACAGAGATTCAGAATCAACACCTATGGTTTGTTGTGATACTTGCCAGCTGTGGGTACATTGCCAGTGTGATAATATCAGGTTAGGTTACCCCTAGTACTTGCAAAGGCGGACTGCTTTCAATCTTTCTCTGTATCACATGGGCAGTTTTTCATGTGCAATTCTGGAATATATACGTTGAGGAATGTTCTTTAATTGTTTTATTGTGTTGTAAACATTGATAACATTTTGGTGATTACTTGGTCCTAATTCTATAATGCGTGATGGATTAGTATTTGGGTTTCAATCATGCAACTATATGTCTGGACTAGAAGGTATTGTATATTTGTATAGTTTACTTCTTGTGCAATATTCTTTTACTATATGCGCTTAAATACAGAAAATTGCACTCAATATCCTTTAGGGATACAGATAGGTGTTAACTTTTGCAGATTAGTTTCTTTGAATATTTTTCCATCTCGAGTTTTTTTATTAAATAAATTATTATTCATTACTTTTCGTTCAATGATTGTGCTTATTGATTTGTCTTGACCTACTTTTTAAATTTTGTATTCATGAGAGGCTGACTTGTTTTGGCAATGACATCAGTGGACTCTTATTTTGGAATAACTGTTTTGCAGTGATGAAAGGTATCACCAATTTCAAGTGGATGGGAATTTGCAGTATAAATGTCCCACGTGTCGTGGGGAATGTTATCAGGTATGTGGTATATGCCTTCAATACATAACTACTTTTTGTCTACCATGGAAAAGCTCTTTGAAATGAGTAAATCTAGATTTTATTATCTCATCCACCTTATACGAATCTTTATGCTCCAGGTTAAGAATCCTGAAGATGCTGCACAAGAGATTTGGAGGAGAAGGAATATTGCTGAGAGAGATTTGATTGCTAGCTTGAGGGCTGCAGCTGGTTTGCCAACTCAAGAAGAGATATTTTCTATTTCACCATATTCAGATGATGAGGATGGTGGGCCTTTAAAGTTAAAGAGTGAATCTACTCGTTCCTTTAAGTTCTCTCTAAAGAATTTGTCCAGTGACTCGCCAAAGAAGAAATCTTCAAACAAAAAGACTGCTAAGAAAAAAGACTCTCAGTCATTTATGACTAGTAAAATCGACACACACAACAGTTTTGAAGGACATAGTGATATTAAATCTTTGCATAGCTTAGATGATGATAAGAATGATGATGTACAATCTCAGAGAAATGAAGGTCCAGATGTTTACTCATCACCTGCTACTGGGAGCCTGAGTCAAACTGATGCTCCTTGCCCAATTAATCAGCCAGGAGTTTTGAAACATAAGTTTGTTGATGAGGTGATGGTCAGTGATGAAGAGAGGAAACCTAGATTTGTTCGAATTAAAAGTAACAAAGCACATATTTTGGATAGTGAAGAGGAAAGTGGAAAACAGAATGTTAAGACTCAGAATGTGAAAGGGAAGAAGTTGGTTATTAATTTGGGTGCGCGGAAAATTAATGTGGCTAGTTCCCCACGGTCTGATACTTCAAGCTGCCAAAAAGATCAAGATCTGGTGGCTGTTAATGGTATATATCTTTCTTTCTTTCCCTTGTCACCATATATTTGCTTGAGAAACAGTTTGTGATTTGATTGTGTAAAAGTGGTCTCTGGTTGATTTTTCAGTCAATTTCTCTCCGTGAATTTGGTGACACATGTTACACATTTCTTGTGTGTATGCATGTGTTCTTGATTGGTTTGATTGCTCTCTTATGTTATTTTCCACTCTTATTTTTGTTTGTGATTTTTCCAGTTCTTATTTTCTTTCAGGAAATGAAGATATAAGCCAATCGAGGAAGGGAGACAAGTTTGCATCAGACAGACAAGATGGCACAGCTAGGCATATTGATGGTAAAGATATTAATCCCCATCGGCCCCCAATCTATACCAATTTTTGGTTATTGCTTTTTGTTATATATTACCTTTGTCCTTAATCCCTATATATAAAAACCTTTTAAGAAAGATGGTTAATTTAGTTAGTGACATTAAATTTGTTAATAATTTAAACTTTTTCCAAAGTTACCCTTAATATTTTTTAAATTAATCATCTTTCTTTGTACTTAACTGTTTCACACCTAATTAATTAATGTTTGAAAAGAGAAAGTTGACGAGTAAGGCATTTAAAAATTGTATCTACTTATCTTCAATTCTAATGAGAGAGAGAGTTTGTTTTATTAATTTCTAACATTTATTATTTTTTGCCTAAAAAAATGGTAAATAAAAAGGTGTTTTAGGAAAAATAATTAATGCAAGAGACAATTAAATAGTGTCTTATAAAAAGAGACAAACATAAAGTAAAAAAGTCTTATATACAAGAGTAGAGGTAATATCAAGCATTAACAGTTGAAGATTTCTCTGATGTTTATATAAGTTGTCTTGGATAAAAACTGACCTAGATTCATGTTCTTTTCAGGAAACAGAGTCGATTCTGGGCAATCAAATTTTTTCAAGGTTTCGGGAAGAGAAGGAAATTTGATTAAGCTGGGAAAAGTTAAGCCAGATGTTTCTGAATTCAACCCGACCTCTGGTAGAGGCAATATGTCTGATGGGCGGGTAAAACATAATACTGATGGAACGATTGATCAGGTTGGACTAAAAGTCACATCAAGAGGCGAAAGGGTGCATCTGGGGAAGCAATCAGAAGTCAGCTCTGATGCATGTGATGAGACAGATGACAATAATAATCGTACACCTTCACATTCTTTGCCAAAAGATTCTAAACCTTTATTAAAATTTAAATTCAAGAAACCAAGCATTGAAAGCCAAAATTCTCCTCATCAGGAGGAGGAGAAGATAATCAAGGGCCAGAGGTCAAAAAGGAAGAGACCTTCTCCTTTTAAGGAGAAAACACCATTTAATGAGTCTGAAAATGCAAGTCAATCACATCAAGACAGTGTAATGGATGAGATCTTGGATGCAAACTGGATATTGATGAAATTGGGCAGTGATGCAATTGGAAAGAGAGTTGAAGTTCATCAGTCATCTGACAATTCTTGGTTAGTGCCTTTTATGGTTTTTTGTTAATTTTGTTATTAAATAACACACAAGGGGGATGATGGGTCGATCATATTAATTATTTTATGAAATAACATTTCTTTCATTACTGTGTTTTTCCCCTAAGTTGCATTTTGCAATATAGAGTATGCTTGGATATAGTCTATAAGGACTTTCAAGAGCTTCTTTCTTAAAAATAAAAAGTATTTTTCAGTGGAAAAACTATTAAAAGCATTTCTAAATTGGTATCCAAACATGCTAGTATGACAATTTATGCCTTTTTTACCTTCTTTTTCTTGTCCAGGCACAAGGGAGTGGTCACTGACGTAGTTGACGGCACTTCAAAGTTACATGTTGCCTTAGACGATGGGAAGGTGAAGACCTTGGAACTCAGGAAACAGGGGGTCCGTTTTGTTTCTCAAAAGCAGAAGAGATCAAAGACATGAACTAAACTTGGTCAGCCTTGGTGATCATTTAATGTGGAGACTTTACTTAATTGACTTTGAAGATTGTTTCATCTTTATGGCCACTCCTTACTGAATTTATATTCGTAGCTGCTCACATTGCTGCTGATTTTTGGGTGAAGCATTCTCGATTGGAGAAATTTCAGTATTCTTAAAAGAATTAACCTTTCACCTTAGTCCTTTTTCTGGGCTGCAGGTTCTTGATCGCGAGTTAGATTTTTCTTGCTTTTCTACATGTATCTGATTCAAAGTAGATTCTACCTGTGATGTATAGGTCACCATTTCTGTAGAATAGGGAAGTTAAGGCCAAGGTGTTAGCTGTATGATTAACGCTCTGCTGGTAGTTGTGAATTGAGATATTTGTCTTGAAAGATGCAATTATTGTCATTTTGTTAAAGGAGATGGTAGTTCACTTCTACCTTCTCACCCTCCATACTTGCATCTACTAAGATTCCCTTTCAACACTAAAATAGAAATAGGTGTTTGGGTATAGCGGTGGAATAAAGCACGAACATGTATCTATAAATAATTAATCAATCATAGGCGAAGGTACCGACCAAAGAAAATTAGAGGTACAAGTGTGTAGGTAACTCTGCAGCTTTTCGATGATTTCCATCTTAAGCGCGTAGGGAAGTGACAGTGATTCCTCAAATTTTCATGGCGTTAAATCTCCTATGCATTTTCAACACTAGGCAATTGGCAAAATGAGTAAACCATTTCAATGTGTCACTACTAATCTGGAAAAAATGAGGTGGGACAAATTGTCTTGTCAGCAAATGGCTTTAAATTAACAACAAAGTTTTTTTTGGATAGGTTGGTGGATTGCTTATTTGATAATGAAAAAAATTGTGACGTTGTATTGAATGCTCATTCGCCCATCTAAGATACCCAAATTTGCAATGGGAAGTTCACAAACGCTCACAAATCACTAACTAGTTAGATATGTAAGAGCATCTCCAAATGAGAACTCAAACGGGTTCTTAATTACTTTTTTAAGATCTTACTTTGCCATATGACTTAAGAATTCTAACAAATATGTATTCCAATGCTGAAAAAACAGGGAGAGATGAAAAACATAATGATAATAACTACAGTAAATCGTAGTGATTGTGACGGATTCAATGTTGGTGTGATTGATTTACCAGTTACATCCACTTAATCAGCTGTTGAGTGTAAAAGATACATTTTTACCTCTACGATGCAAATAGGTTTTAAAACACACTCTTAAGTTGTTTTGAATGTTAAAATTTCATACTCAATGATATTAGTTGGAAACTTGGAATATTGAGTCTCAGCACTTGAAATCCAACTTGATACTAACCAGTTCAATTTATGTTATTTTTTAAATATGTTTCGAGTCATGTCGTATTTTTCATGTTATTATTATTATTTTTCACTTTGTATTTATTTATTAATAATTGTCTTGATTATTGAACCCAACTTATACGAATATGTTTCGATTCATTTCGGTTTATTTCATTTAGCCATATAAGGAGCTTTTAAATGTTTTAGTCTTTTATTGTGACATTAATTTTATTTCTCATCAATTATTTTTCCACATGTAAGAGTCATAAATTGTTTTAAAAATATTTTAGACCATCGTAATCAGTTATCATATAATATACATAGTACGCCAATTAGAATGTTCATTAATATAAGTTTATATATATATATATATATATTTATAATTATCCGAATTATCATGTAAAATTATTAATTTTTGCGATAATTATTTTAAAAATTAATATAAAATGATTTTGAATTAGTTTATTAGTATTACTAGTTGGGTTTATGTTAGTGGTCATATTAAGTATTAACTAGGGCCTGGCCCGTTTTGATATCCCGGCTTCATGTCTTTGACCGAAAAGACGATATAAGTGCAGTATTTGAAGCGTAGTGAGAGAGAGTGAGGGAGGAAACAGAGAGAGAAATAAGCGATGAATGCACCAGATCGTTACGAGCGTTTCGTCGTCCCTGAAGGCACCAAAAAGTACGCTCCCTATTCCCCCCTCTTTCTCTTCCTTCCATTTCCACTTTCTGATTCTCTCTTTTCTCTCTTCAATTTCAAAAACAGGGTCTCTTACGAGAGGGACACCAAGATCATCAATGCCGCCTCCTTCACCATCGAGAGAGAGGAACACACTATCGGCAACATCCTCCGCATGTATTCCCCTGTTCTCGTTCCCCCTTCTCCCTTCATTTTAACTCCCTCTGGCCAAACCCTAATTTTTCTTTGTTCTTGTTTCTGTCGTTGGTGTTCAGGCAGCTGCACAGAGACCCCAACGTGTTGTTTGCTGGATACAAGCTTCCTCACCCTCTTCAGTACAAAATTATAGTTAGGGTTAGAATCTTTTCCTCATTACTACCTCCTTTTTAATACTTGTTTCATTTCGCTTCAATTTTATCGAATATTCAAAGGTTTCAGTAAACATCCAAATTGGTCTTCAAACTAAGGAATTGTAACATACGGCCCTAAAGTACGAATTCATAATTACAATAGTCCAAAACTCTAAAAAAAAAATGTGACTATAAAAATAATATTGATATATTTTCAGGACCAAAATGATAGTAAGCATTTAAATTCAAGGATTTATATGACATTCTAGAGACTTTCTTGGCAATTTCTTAGTTTCAAGACCAAATGATAGTTTCATGGACCAAATTGAGTGTTTACTTTCAAAGGTTTTACATTTCAAAACTTCTCCCAATAAGATTTTAGTTGTAAGCTATTTCAACCAGTTTGTGGCATAGTTTGTTACGGGTAGAAGATACAAATCATAGTTTTGTTTGGAATTAATAATGGTTGACCAGCCTAAGTCATGCTTCTTGAGTGCATCCTAGGTTGTTAGCTTTGTGATACTGCATGGACTGTATTTGGACAAAAATTAAAGCAACTCATGTCCTTGTGGCATTTCAATCAATTATGGCGTGTAAAAGTTTAAAAAATTAAAGTGAATAAAATAATAATAAGCATAAAGTGTCTCTATGCAGTGTCCGACATAAATACATGTCTGACTCCGTTAAGACGTAACATTGTCATTATTCAGAAGTGTATTTGCTTCTTTGGTTTAGACTCTTTTGGATTGGCTCAATCTTACTCCTTTTAAATCTTGGCACGTCGATATTGACTTCAGATTTGTATGTGTGTGTGCACTTGCATGTGCTGTTTGCAGTATTTTTTTCTTCCCGGAGCTGGGGAGAGCATAAATTTTATGTTCTTTCTGTATGTGAATCAAGAGTTCTCAAGTATTATCTATTTTATTGTTATTTTTACAGATACACACCACTAGTCAGTCTTCACCAATGCAGGCATATAACCAGTCTATTAATGATCTGGACAGGGAATTTGATCATTTGAAGAATGCCTTTGAGGTAAAATGCGTCTTCTTGTTGTTCTTCGAGCAATATATATGTAAATTCTATGACATTATTATTACTGGTTTACTCGTCTATCTAGGAATTCTTCTAAATATTGAATAGAGCATTGGCTATTAGTATTGCACCATTACCCTGCTTGTATATGGGTCTCATTTCAATTTTCTTCCCTAACCTGGAAAGTTGTTGTTTAATTTTGACTTGTATCATTTGACTGTTTGGTGTCTCTAATCCTTGTATCTATAGAGAATTTGGAGATTTACTGAGGTTCAGCATTTATAAATCACTTTATGTATTAGAAGTGTGCTTGTCTTTTGATGTTGTCCACCCTTCGATGGCATTCACTATATTTTTCCTAAAGGCATTTAGAAACAATCATGTATCTAATTAAGGACATCTATGCCACACTTGGGATTCAGAAATAGACTTTTGCCTAATTTGGGAATGCAACCTCTTGAATATCAAATAGTTACTGACAATTCTCTGGCATTAATATAGTTCTTTTGAAATATACATACTAAATATTTATCTCTAGGTGGTTTGTATGGGGTGAAATACTTACTACTTCAAATAGTGGAAATCGTTATAGCATTCCAGACTCTAATATTTGATAGGATTTTCTGGAACCACAATATTTCTAAAAAATGATTGTAGTAGATGGATTGTATTCAATATTCTTATTTACTTTTTTCTTAGGTTCCCGTTGGTAACTTATTCGATATGTTTATTGCAGGCTGAAATGTTGAAGTTGGCAAGGGACTATTGATTTACAGTCAAGATGTATGGTGTGTGCATTACAAGCCTCGGCAGATATCGAGATAGCAAATCACTTCTGCTAAATGAAATTTAAATAGGGTGCTATGAGTGTTTTGAGAGACTTGTTAAAGATGATTTGTTGTTGTGAACAATTACGAAGTTAACAAAAATGCATTAATAGGAGCAATTGCATTATATTATGCTAGTTATGTTCGCAACTATTAGTAAATTTCTGTCACATGGATGTTATATTGACGGACTTGGTATAGACTTATTTGATGTTCCAAATATACAATGCCTAGGGCCACGGGTGACGAGTAATCAGTTTTACGGTTTGGATTATTTTGGCAACCAGTTAAGAAGAGGATAGGCTTCCGTTGTTTAGGTGCGCAATTATTACTGATTTCGAATGGAATAGTTCTGAATATGTGGTCTTTTTATTGTATGGTGAATATTATGTACAAGTTGTCTAGTTCTAGTGGATGCGTGTTTAGTTTCTCTTGTACGTAGTGTATTATTTAATCAACATTTTTAGAATCAGTTAGTTGTTTTAGGATTATACCAGTAATCGATCGACTAGTGTGGGGAGTCTGTTTCTATCGATTTTCTTTTATTTTTTCGTTTGGCAACTGAAATTTGTTGAATCTACCGTTTTTTTTTCTTCGTAAAATGATGTAAGGAACATCTTCAATGGAGACATGATTTCTGAATGCGCTTTTATCTTTACAATTTTCACAAGGTGATTCTAGCAAAATTTTGTTTGTTTGCTACAATTTGCATCTATCTCTACACTACCTATCCATTTACATCTACATGATAGAGAAGTCCTCGTCAAGGCCATCTAGCTCTCCTCTAAGTTTGTGTTGTTGGATTATTAATACAGAGACTGACGTTGAGAAGTCTGGTCCTGAAAGAACATCCCCTATCGGTCCTAGTTCTGGGCATTGTTGCCAGTCATTCATCCCCTTTGTCAATATAGAGTTTATCCCACCTTCTCTTCCTACAACCACCAGTGAGTATTGGCCTTCCAATGATCTCAGAGTAGCAAATGTCTCGCCCGCATTTGCAAGATGCTTCTCCATATAGTGGATGCGACCTGCAACTATATGCTTTTCATAGAATTGTGCAAAGCATTCGTCATCCAACCCCATCTCCTCCTCTTGCTCTGGCAGGCTTACCCTATAAGCCGCCAGTCTCGAGGATTCTGCACTGGTATCTACCAGGAATCTTATTACTGTCACTTTTACTCCCGAATGCCATGCTACACGACCCGCATATGCAAGTACTTCTCTATCATCTTTTCCACCAATGAATATTGCTGCCACTTGTAGTGTTACCTCAGACCTTGATATTTTCGGAATGGACCCAAAACCTCTGTTCACAAGAATCCCCACGGAGCAAGGAGCAGTCTTCAATAACTGTTGAACGAAAAATCTGTTAGCTGGTTGAGCGATTAAGAAGTATTTCTCTGTAATTTTCTTTTGTGTAACCATACCGGTAAAGCAACACTAGTTTTTTTGCTATAAATTAAACATACTGTGTAAGATTTTTCACATGAATGAACAAGAATTGATGCATAATAATTCACAGCATAATTTTTATATTTGATCAAAACATCGACCTTTATGTTGAATAAGAGATCCTAGGTTCAAGTTTTACTTATAATTTGTTTCCCTTAAATTACCTTTCGGTTCACATATCTAAAACCTTGATTGCCACCATCCAATTTTCCATCCTGACGCTGGCTCCTGTGGAATGGAAGTATAATGAGGGCAATCATCAATTCCTCTGCTAAAGAGCAGATGTTCTGTGCCATGTTGTTGATTGTTGAAATTGCCAATGATCTTTTGAGCGTAATACCATCGCCATCATTATCTAGATAGGCTTTGAACGAGCTCGTCACTTGTTCTCTCATCTCTATCACTGCCTTGTCTCTCACAGTTGATGCATGTATTCCTTCACCAGTCTCTACTGTTGCTTCTATTTGATCAGTTAATTCAATAATTTCTGCCAGATAAACCAAAAGGCCCGGTTCTGTTGTCCCTCTGGAAATCTCCATGAAGTTGATGGAAGCAGGAACATTGGGAGGTCCGTGAACGCACAAGAGTATCCTTAACTCACTTGACGGGTCCAGCAACTGGAGGGCCATGGTGTGAGTAGGTGCCCTTCTCCTGGCACGTTTGATGATATGTGCCACAATTATGGGTGCATGCACCACTGTGAGAAATGTTGCAATTACCGACATAATGCCCGCGGAAATAGTGGAGCCACAATTGATCTGGTAATACAAGAGAAGGAGAAGGCATGAGAATGAGAATGATCATTCATGATTTGTGTTTTAATTATTAAAAAAAGAAAAAGAAAAAGAAAAGGTGAGGTCTCTTCCTTTTGCATGTATAGATAGTATTAGTGGATGTATGATAAAAGTGAGAAATGAGGGAAATACTTGCCCCTTTGATAACCATGTAGATCTGAAAATGGCCCTTGGTGACGAGTAGCAAGCCAATTACAAGAGATTCTGGCCAGTGGAAGCCAAGCAGTGCCCCAACAGCAAGCGTGCCAGCAACTTTACCGACGACCGCCATGACAACGGGCAGAATAAGCCTGAGCCACGTCACAGGGTCTCCAGGGGCCAACCTGGTGAAATCAGCAGCATAACCCATCCACAAGAAGAATATCGGGTAGAAGATGGTGGTCAAGAGATAGTTTATCTTGCCGACAACCCATTTGGAAACTCTTCCCTCCCGGGGAAAACAAGTCCCTGTTATAAACGCACTTAGAACCGGATTATAGTTGTATAGAGTTGAAGAGGCACAAATGATGACCACGAAGGCTATTGACAGTACCAGATGTGGACCTTTCATCGGCCTCCCCTCTGGGTTCTCATCGTTAACCCACGCCATAAACACCGGCGACACCAGCCCCGTGAACACCGTCTGCGCCACCACCGCCACACTCATCGTTATCACCGACTGCGTCGTCTTCTCCACATGACTATGAGGCTGAGGCCCTACGCAGAATGCCTCCGCCGGCATGAAAATGTACCCTACTGATAGAAGCAACGAGCACACAAAATCTGCGTGCATCCCTGCCCCTATCACAAGCTTCCCAATATCCGATTTTCCTATCTTGAGGTTCGTTAAAAGACGCGTCAGAACGGGAGAGGCTGTGCTTGAGACAAGCGCCGAGAGGCACAGGATGAACGCAAATCCACGCTCTTCTGTGAAGTAATGCAGAAGTGGTGTCAGGGAACACGATATCACGAAGGTGAAGATTATTCCTGAATACGCTATTTGAGCATCCTTGCTTGGCCTTCTCAACAGTGCGTACGGATCCATCTCTATACCCAAAGCAAACATGTAACACATCATGCCAAAATCAATGATAAACCCAAAGGTACTGTTGAATTCATCATATAGTTTACGTAAAAAAGGTATGTTCCCCATAATTAGTCCTACCTGCATAAACATACATGGATATCAGAAACTTCATCATCATGCATGCACCATGCTGTCTACGTGTCTTACTCATCATCACGAGATGCTTACTATTATGTCAGAAGCAATGCGAGGTTGTGCGTACGGCTTTAGTACGTAATGTGCCCCGTTGCATGCAATCACCATCGCCATGAACACAAGGAAATTTTTCCCTAGTTGAAGTATCAGGTACCCTAGCTTTTCTGAACATTGGGTTATCGCTACTGCCATATTATATTATATATCTATCTTCTCTTAATCTCTTATCTTGCTTTTCTTTTTCTCTACCTTACCAGTTACCATTACCATGTTGTGCAACACTAGTCTCATCGCCACGCACGCAATTTTTCCTTCGCATTTTTGTTTTCTTGATGACAATCCATTGTCGCCAATTTTTGGCCAAACCCTTTGGGAGAAGCGAGTGGTCGTGATTCATGGCTTACTTTCAGGAGACAATATTGGAGGAGCTCTCTCCCCAGTATAAGACATACGTAGCTTCTGAATTTGGAGCATTTCGACACTTTACGAGGCTGCTAATAAACCGGAAAACATGGATAAATCACAAATAATGTTCTATATATCTACACCAAAATCACAAATGTTCTATCCAATCTCCTTCACTAATTATTTCTATGTCGATGACCATTTTTTTAAAATGCCAACCTGTCCCATCCTATAATATATACTTTGTTTTCTATGCTTTTTCTTTTTTTAACAACCGATGGAGATTAGTTATTTAAATTAATCACTACAATTATAAATTATTTTATTCCAAAATATAGTCTTCATTATTTATTTTGGTTCTTGATCTCTAATATGTCTAAAAGCAAATCAATCGAGGGTTGTTAAATTCAAAAATAAATTAATGATGATGGTTATATTTAGTGTTGTAATGTAACTAATTATTTGGTATTTCTAATTTCAAATATTAATTAATTGATAGTTGTCAAAAGTTGAAATTCCTTTTTTTTTTTTTTAAATATCAAGGCGTAAATTAAATGGTATTATAGTTTGCGAATATAATTTGGTGAATTACTCCACCAAATCCACTGAGACATTAAATATCTACTGAAAAATAAAATCCAAGAGAATCGGATCCAGTTTTTTTAAATTTTTTTTTTATCTTATCTTCTTTTTAAAAGAAAATGTTGGGCCATATATTTTTCAATTTCATAGAAAGCTATTGAAAAGAAAAGGTGATAGAGCTTGAAAAAAAAAGGTGTTTTTAATTAAGTTACTTCACATATAGTCCCCTTTTCAAATTTCAACACTCCAGAAATTCTCCCGTATATCCTCAATATTCTATTAATGGAGAAAATTTGATTATTTTGCTGTCAAAAAAATAATAAATTCAACTCTCATAAAATACCATTATTTTTAATTTATCATCGGCTTCTCCAATGAGTGTCATCGTCTTGTAATTAGTAATTTAATTTTTAATTAATATTATATAAACTAATTTAATTTTCCATCATTATTAAAATTAACTTTTATCAATTAAAAAATATTTTTACATTTTTAAAATTAAATTTTTTTAATGTATGTATTTTAGTGCTTTTATAATTTTTTTTATTATGGTTAAAAGAAATTTTTGTTGATTAGATTAATTTTTTATGTAATTTTTTTTTTGAAAATATGTTATTCCATTGAGTAAGATAATTAGTTGTTAAATAAATTTAAAATCTTTAAATTTATTTATCAAACAGTTTTTAGTTTAAAAGAAGCTTTGAAATTAATATATATATAACACAAATGACTATAGTGTTGAATTCAAGTTCAAATTGTTTCGACAATGTTAAAATTTGATTTTTAATGGAAGTAATGTTTAGCCAAATTTTACTTATCTCAATGGAATTAGATTAGCTATGACGAAGTTTTAAAACACCGATGTAAAAATTAAAAAAAGAAGAAAAAAAATATTAAATAACTTTTTTTTTTTTTTATTTGGAACTTTAGTTTTAAGCTGAAAAAAAAGCTAGGCCGAATATAGCCGCCGCCGGGGTCCCGGGAGAAAGTAAGTAGAAGGATTTTTTATTTTTTATTTTTTTCAGTTTGATTTATTTTACATTTAAAAGAGGGCTTAATGATCTCAAAGAAAAAATAGGAGAGAAATTATAAAAAAAAATAGTGCTAGCAACTACATAATAGTAAATAAAAAATATTATCATTTAATTTTATTTACTATTATTTGAATTAAAAAATAGTGATAGTAACTACATAGTTTTAGATTAAAAAAAATCAACTCTTATTTTATTTTTATCTAAAAAAAGAGCATGAGTGTTTTTTTTTAATATTTAAAAAAGAGTATCAGTGTTTTTCTTTTTATGTAAAAAAGAGTATCAATGTGAACATTGATACCGTAATGAGTTTTTATATCGTATTTAATTGCACATTGTGATATTTGTTTGTTTGTTTGTTTTTTATACTTTAACAAATAAATATATTAAAAGTCATACTTATTATAATTTTACATCAATAATGCGTAAAAAATAAAATTAAAAAATTACTACTTCTGTCTCTATATTTAAGATTTTTTTAAAATTTTTTAATTGCTAGTTGTATTAATTAAATATTCTCTAAAATACCATTATTTAATTAATTTTTTTTAGACAAAATATAATAAATATTTAAAATTAATTGGATAAAAACTTTTCCTCTTTTATTAGATTTGAAAAAGATAAATGGACATATAAATACTTCTCTTCTAAATATTAATTAATTAGGTAAGAAATGATTAAATAAAAAGAAAAAATTTAATTTAAGAGATGTTGAAAATAATTTTGAAAAATATTTAAATTATTGACAAGTTTAATACACTTAATTAAATTAATTAATTTTCAAAAAACGTGTAACTTAGTTAAAAAATATTATAATTTGAAATGAAGGTAGTATTCCATCAGAACCTATATTATATAATAATAATAATAATAATAATAACTGATTTCATATGAATTAAAAAAATTTATTAAATACATTTAATTATCCAAATTTCACATAAAATATACACTATATTTTTTAAAATATATTCTTTATCACATTTATAATATATATTATTCTCATTGGTTATAAGAGTATTTTTTAATCATAAATATTAAATAAAGTTAACTTATATTTTGATAAATAAATAAAAAGTAAACATTTTTTTACCTATATAAGTTCATACGGAATATATATTAATATTTATGACTTTTTAGGGATTGATTTGATCTCGTTATATTTTATTTTAAAAGTGGAAACATATGCAATCATTGTCCATTTGGAGTTATCGGAAGTTTGGATGAGATTAAAATTTTCAAACAGAGGAGAAATTTTTTTCTCTCAAACATTGAGAAACTGCTTAAAATTTTAGGTTGTTAATCATTAAATTTTGGCTTTATTAGGAAATTATGAAAGAGAGAGAGAGAGGAATATTTTAAACATCATCGATCAGTCAAATAAGTTTATTAATAATCTAATGATTTTTCATTTTTGCATGCAACTTTTTAAAATAGAATGTTTGGCAAGCGACCGGCACATGAAATTAAATAATATAAACAGTTTTAGTTTTATATTTAAATGTCTATTATTAATAAATATGATAAATAATATAATAAAGAGAGGTAAAAACAAAATTTGTCGGAGAATTTAGATGTGATGATTGAGTTAAGAAGAGATTCAAAATTTGAAAAAGGAGGAGTGCATGAAAGGTTATTAGTTGGCGGGAGAGTGAGGAGAGTGTGAGGTGTCAAAAAGGAGGTGTGGTGAGGAGAAAGGGAACACTATAAATACGAAGAGGAGAGAAGCGTTCCCATGATTGGAATTTGCCTTTGGAGCACAAAGCCAACACCCAAACGCGGAATAGATAGAAAGAGAGAGAGGGAAAGGGAAAGAGAGAGAGAG